ACTGAGTTGATGATCAACATCGGAATTGTGAGCAGAGTAGGGGACAGCATAAGCATCAGCAAAAGTCTCGCGAATTGTGGAGTCCATGGTGTCGAGGTTGATCTCAGTCGTGAGGTCGTGGATGGCAAGAGCGAGGTGCGGGTTCATGGTGGTGGTGGTAGCGGCAATATTCCCATCTTCACAGTCATTGTCACTATCATTGCCGGCAAGGTGGGCCTGGCGTTCACGGTTGCGAATGATCCGTCGACGAACTTCGTCAGGCATGATCGAAGCACAATACTGCGCGAAATGACCAGGAATTCCACAGCGGTGACAGACATCCGGCCGATTCTTGTGTTTGTCCAATCGAACTCTTTCCTGCCTGCGGAGTGGACGAGTAAGAAGATGCTGGAGTTGGTTTGAACACGGGAATGACCATGGGCAGCGAGTGCGGTTGGAGCATCAGGATCTAGATCCAGATCCTCACCCCCATGATTCGGTCTCGCCCGCGTGGCTTTAATGACCGAATCACGCTTCTGAAGATCTGCATGCTCCCAAGCGTTAATCACAGTGATCAGATCCGGTACGGAGCGCTGAGGCGATTCGTTCTGGAGAACGGCAGTGATAGGGGAGTAGACAGACGAAAGACCAGCGAGGATTTTATCCTGGACCATGAATGGGGGAAGGGAGACGACGATAGCGGTGAGACGACTCTCGGCAGTGACAACAGCCTGGAGGAAGTCATCGGCGGGTTTCGCAATATCATGGGAGAGGTTGTTTAGCTGAGCCATGAGCATGGAACGGGTGGCGGGGTCCGATGTGGTGTAAAAGGAGGCCAGCTGTGCCCAAAGCAAACGACCGCTTCTTCCAACCCCAGCATTGTTAATCTTGGCCTGCACGGCTGGGCTCAGCGTGAGGTACAAGATGCCATATGCCTTCTGATTATCGTTGGTCCATTGGCGCATCTGGACGACGCCACCTGGGACAGGAACCGATGGATCGACGGCACTCCAAGAGCCATCAGCCAATAAAAGAGCCTCTGCTTCGGGCTTCCAGGTCCAGTAGTTTACCCCACCCATAAGCTTCGAAATGTCCGATGGTTTGACCATGACGAAGGAGAGTTGGATGCAAGTTGGATGTGGAGTGGCACAAAGGACAAAGACGAGAGGACCGGGTGCTGATCGTGACAGCGTACACAGAAAAGAGGACCAAGATGTGCTTCTTTAGTAGGCAGTGGTGCGCAAGCCCATAACCTGTTAGAAATTGAACACCCCAGAAGTCGAGGAACGGCGAATAACGCGCGATGAAGTACAAAGACAAGTGAATTGGTGATGTGACATAACGCGTAACAAATCTAATCTAATCGGGTCTCGGCTCGAACTCCAACACATGCCTTTCCCTTTCCGGTCTTTTGTTGTTCTCTTGTTCTGCAAGTAGTTGGCTGTCTGGTCTGTTGTTGACTTGCATATGTACTCCTACTAGTAATCCACATTATGTATTGCTCAATTCCGATCTGCAGCCAAGAATAAAATGCTGCGGCCACCTACTCGTGTTTTCGTGGTTTTGCGTAGTTTCTCTGGCCTTGGCCTCCAGCCACAAAGTCAGGTCAAAAACCGAGATTGTAGAACATTTCGTATAAGTTTCTTTCGGGGTGGGGTCGACCTCGCGCTACAAACCCTCGTGTCGTAATTCACATCTTTATTCGGTGATCTGATCTCACATCAATTCTCGCACGACGCTTCCGAGTCGTGCGCAATTCATTCCTTCTGATACCACATCTCTGCAGCGATGACGGTGTTCTCCTGGAGGAACCGAGGTGCTGTCTGATATATTTCAGTGTTGCCGATTGTCTGACTTTTTTTATATCTCCCAGTGGGATATATAAATATATCATTTGGCGTACAAGTAATATCTGCGTAGTTCAGAAGGAATGTTATGCAGCATAATATGCTTACAGCTTTTATCCACACATTATTCACTCTGGTGGAAGAATATTTCGACAGAATTGCCATTCTCGACCTTGTGCACGGATCTCTTCGGATCCGACCTCATGCTTGCATATCTAACCCAAGTGGCCTGCCGTCGCATGGAGTGCCTGACCCTCGGCTTGCTCGCACCGGACGCCATCAGTCGCCCTCCATTCTCCTCCTCTTTTCCATAACTCGAGTCATTATCATTCTATCAATCTTTTCTATCCAGTAATTTCTGGGCACTCGGTAGACGGTTACCGAACTCTTGCTCGGACATGTGGTGGACATCATACAACTGCCCTGGAACGATATGGGATATGCTACAGTCATTCCCCCTTTTAATCAGTCTCCGGTTGGGCAGCATATCTTGCACGGATATCCCCGGATACACTCTGACCAAAATCCTTTTCGCGCATTTGATATATTTGGATTTCGTGTTCAGCTCGACGTCCATGATCGACGTTTTGGTGTCAATCCACACACTGGCTTTACGCGGGATGCATCTGGATGCACTCTTGCCAGAATTTAACTATCATTTCATCTCCAAGTGCGGCCACCCACTACAAATTCCACTCCGGTTGAGCGTCGAATTTGCCGATGCTTTCCTACTGGAAGATATCACAGGATTAATCAACGCATTCACCTCGATAACTAGACTCAATACCAGGTGGCAGGGTTTACAGGGGGAAGTAGTGGTGACTGATATGTTGATGAGTGGAGACTTGCTTCTTAACGATCTAGAAGATATTCGGACTGAATGGCCGATATCAGAGGCAACCCTTCAGATCATCTTCGCCGACAAAGCTTTTATGGTCGCTCTATCATCTCAAGAGTATCAACATATCTGAGGTTGTCAGACTGAACTATGGCCTTGAGGAGTGGGTCAATAATTGAGGTCAAAGTGGACTATGACTAGAATGTCATTTTATCGCATAGCTAGCATAAAGTCTTTGTCAAATTGTATAGTAAATTAATACTCCGGGCCGCAGGCCTGACGAGTACTGCCATGCGCCAGCAATGGTCCTAAGCCCAAGTAGACAGACAGATGGCCAAGTCAAATTCCTTTGTTTTACATTTAAACAAGGAATGGGATGCGACTGCAAGGATAGAGTCATGGTTCGAAAGCTTGAAGAGTCGAAAAAAAAAGAACTGATCGAGTGCGAATGCGGACGCGGGGAGTCGAACCCCGGGAGCTGCATGAAATTCCAGTTCCTGACACATTTATAAAATGCAGCGGTGCACCACGCACCATGTCCGCTTGCTGTTCTCATTTTTGTCCTTCTTGTAATGAGGAAGAAACAAGGCATTTGACCTGCAGGAGAGTAAAAAGGGTGGTATGAGACAACCAATGCGGACGCGAGGAGTCGAACCCCGACAGCTGTGTCAAATTTGCAAATACAAAACACCATGAAATACAGCGGTGCACCGTGCACTATGTCGCTGGCATCCCATTTTCAAGCTGCCAAGTAGGAGGATTTTATTGGGGTCGTGAGATGAGAAGAGCTAGGACAGAATCGATGGACAGATGGATCGGAGTCAAAGCTTGAGTTATTGCTCGATGAAATTGTGGGGATATAGAATCCTGCTTTGAAAAGTGGTTGGGCGTGCAAAAAAGGAACCAGAAGACGGAAAACGAAAAAAAAAAAACTGCGACTTGACCGATGCATGCGGACGTGGGGAGTGGAACCCGACAGCTGCTTCAATTTTTCAAGTTCTGTGACACCGGATGAATTGCAGTGGTGCCCCTGTGCACCACGTCCGCTTCCACCCTCAGTTACTCAAACTGCGAACTAAGATAATTTTTATTGGTGTTGTGACGTGCAAAGCTATGAGAGACAGGACAGATGGCCAAGCCAAATTCCTCGTGTTACATTTAAACAAGAAATGGGATGACACTGCAAGGATAGAGTCGTGGTTCGAAAGCTTGAAGAGTTGAAACAAAAAGAGACTATTTGAGTGGGAATGCGGACACGGAGAGTCGAACCCCGGCAACTGCTTCAATTTTAAGATTCAATTTCACCAGATGAATTGCAGTGGTGCACCATACACCACGTCCGCTTCCTACTCTCATTCATTTCTTCCTATGAGTGAGATAGAAATAAGGTATTCGAACTGCGAGACAATAAAAAGTATATGAAGCTCAAAATATGCGGATGCGGGGTACCACATGCAGCGGTGCAGCTCGCACCACGTCCACTTCCCACTCTCAGTTCCGCAAGCTACTAGGTAGGATGATTTTATCTGCCCTGTGTGGGAAGGAACAAAAAGCTAGATGGGTAGACTCATTGGCTGCTTTTTTGTACCGGATGGAACTGTGAGAATAATGGAGCCGTGCCATGGAACCAGTCGTACAGCTGACCCGTGCAAAAAAAAACGTGGATATGAACGATGCATGCGGACGTGGGGAGTCGAACCCGGGTCGCTGCTTCAATTTTCGGGTTCAATTACACCACATGAAATGCAGCGGTGCACCTTGCACCATGTCCGCTTCCTTCTTGATCCCTCCCTCACTGAACGCAAGAAAAATATTTTCCAACTATGAGCCCCGTCAAAAACCAAAAAAAAAAAAAAAAAAAAGCGATTTTTGCTGGGTACGCGGATGTGGGGAGTCGAATCATGACAGGGACACATAATAACGTATCCAGTGCAGCGGTACACCGTGCACTACGTCCGCTTCCCACTCTATTTTACTTGAGCCTCCAAGCTGGATGATTTATTGGTGCTGTGAGGTGAAAAAGGTGGGTAGATCGGTCGGGCTTCAATTCTTACTGGATGGGATTGTCTGCCATTTACTGTGCACTTTTTCATGCCAGCGGACGGTTGAATTGCAGGGAAAAGAAAAAGAAAAAGATCCGACCTTCCTCTCAGTGCGGACGCGGGGAGTCGAACCCCCTCATCTACTTCAATTTTCTCGCCAAACTCAAATGAAATACAGCGGTCCACCGCGCACCACGTCCACTTCCTTTACTCATTTATTTCTCCTCATAGCCGAGAATAAAATAAGGTGTTCGAACCGCAAAAGAGAGAGAAAAAGCGTTCGCAAACTCAGTATACGGACGTGGGGAGTCGAACCCCGACAGCTGCTTCAATTTTCTCGTCAACCTCAAATGAAATGCAGCCCTGCACCGTGCACCACGTCCGCTTCCGACTCTCACTGCCTCAAGCTGCTAGCTAGGATCATTTTATTGGAGGTGTGAGCAAAAAGAGCTAGGACCGTCGATTTTTTTTGGACTGGAAGCATAATTGAGTCGCGGCTTGAAAACAGCTTTACTGTTGGGGGGTGCAAAAAAAGGAACGGTATAAGAACAACAATAAAGTGCCATGCAGACGCAGGGAGTCGAACCCCGGCAGCTGCTTCAATTTTTTTTGCAGCTCATCATGACTATGAAATGCAGCGGTGCACCGTGCACCACGTCCGTTTCCTACCCTCATTCTTCAAGCTGCTAACTCGGGTGATTTTATTGGTGCTGTGACGTGAAAAGCTATCATAGACAAACAGGTGGCCAAGCCAAAATTCCTTGTATTGCATTTAAACAAGAAATGAGACGGAACCCCAAGGGCAATAAAGTCATGGGTCGAAAACTTGAAGAGTTGAAAGACAAAAAGAAAAAAAGAAAAAAAAAATGATCAAATGCATCAACATATGCGGACGCGGGGAGTCGATCCCCTACAGCTGCTTCAATTTTTTCTTCGCTGCATAACAGTGCATGAAATGCAGCGGTGCACCACGCACCACGTCCGCTTCCTGTACTCGCTTATTTCTTCTCATAACCGAGATAAAAAACCAGGTATCCGAGAGAGAAAAAGGAAAGTCTATGATCCTCAGTGCGGACGTGGGGAATCGAACCCCGGCAGCTGCTTCAATTATCCGACAAGTGCCAATAATGAAATACAGCGGTGCACCACGTCCGCTTCTTACCCTTGTTTCCTCAAGCTGCTAGCTAGGAGAATTTTATTGGCACGATTAGTTGAAAAACGTGGTCAGATGGATCTGAGTCAAATTTGAAAGCAGTTGAACTGTTGGATTACGAGACAGAAAAAAAACCACAGCATTAAAGAAAAAGAAAAAATTCTGGAGGCCCAAGAATACGGACGCGGGGGGTCGAACCCCGACAGCTGCTTCAAGTTTACGCTTTCCTAATGAAATGCAGCAGTGCACCGTGCACCACATCCACTTCCTGTCCTCATTTAATTATGTAAGCCGCTAGCTAGAAGAATTTTATTGGTGCTGTGAGGTGAAAACAGCTAACACCACTGGCTGCCTTTTACGTCCTGTTATTGTCAGGAATTGTCAAGATAATTTTTTGAATAGAGTGTCTGTTATGTACCACGTCTGTAAGTCTTGTTTGGTGCCAGTGGGCTATTAAATCGTGAGACTCCCCCAACAAAAAAAGGCCTTTGATGTTGCCAAACGCGGATGCGGGGAATCGAACCCTGTCAACTGCTTCATTCCAGTACCTCCCACACATGGAGTGCAGTGGTGCGCCGTGCACCACGTACGCTTCCTGCCCTTATTTCCTCAAACCGCTAGCCAGGAGAATTTTATTGGCACGATTAGTTGAAAAAAGTGGTCAGATGTCTCGGAGTTGAATCTTGATTTCCTGGAGGTAGCTTTAATTGTCGGGATAACGGAGACGCCGCTTGAAAGCAGCTGTACTGTTGACCGTGGCAAAAAAAAAAAAAAAAACACTGCTCTCCCAGCTGCATGCGGACGCGGGGAGTCGAACCCCGACAGCTGCTTCAATTTTCAGGTTCAGTTCCATTGGATGAATTGCAGCGGTGCACCGCGCACCACGTCCACTTCTTACCCTCATTCCTCAAGCTGGTAGGTAGGAGGATTTTATTGGGATCGTGAGATGAAAATGAGGCATAAGATGGATTGGAGCCAAACCCGAGTCAAACCTTAAATTCAACTGGATGGAATTGAGGGCTTGCCGTTGTCCTGTTGAACTGTTGGATTGCGAGACAAGAAGGAAAAGGGGGGGGAAAGCCCTTTAACAATGCATGCGGACGCGGGGAGTCTGTAACCCCCCATATGAAATGCAGCGGTGCACCGTGCACCACGTCCGCTTCCTACTCTCAATTCCTTAAGCTGCTATCTGGGATAATTTTATTGGCTGTGAGCCATCCCGCACTAGTTGCTTTTTTATCATCCTGGAATTGTCGGGATAATTGGTTACGGCGATCTGGTATGTACGGCCTCTGCATAACGTTTCGTGCCAGTGGACCGGGGAAAATTTAACGAAAAAAATTAACAAAAACAAAGTCAATGGAACCAGATCAATGCGGACGTGGGGAGTCGAACCCCTACAGCTGCTTCAACTTGTTCCTACTTTCGCAATGAAAAGCAGCGGTGCACCATGCACCACATCCGCTTTCCTCCCACTCTCGTTATGCTTTCGTATGGGTGAGATAAAAATCTGCGCTGCCCGGGATGAGGAAATCTGACAAAAAAAAAAAGGCAGTGGAGCCAGATCGACGCGGACGCGGGGAGTCGAACCCGTGGTAGTTGCTTCAATTTTCTCTCCAAATCCCGAAATGAAATGCAGTGGTGCCCCGTCAAGCTACTAGCTAGAAGAGTTTTATTGGTGCTGTGACGTGCAAAGCTATATATGATAGACAGACAGATGGCCAAGCCAAAATTCCTGGACTTTTGTTTAACATTTAAAGAAGGAATGGGAGAAGACTGCAAGGATAGAGTCGTGGCTCGAAAACTTGAAGAGTCGAAAGAAAAAATAAATAAAAAATTCGAATGAGGGGGAATGCGGACGCGGGGAGTCGAACCCCAGCAGCTGCTCAACCCTGAGGGCCATCACCAATGAAATGCAGCGGTGCACCACGCACCACGTCCGCTTCCTATCCTGGTTTTCTTGAGCTGTAACTGAGATAATTTTATTGGGGATGAGAGGTGAATGGCTGCTTTTTCCGTCCTGGAATTGTCAAGATATTTGGCTACAGTGTCTGTGATGTAGCACGTCTGTAAGTCCGTCTGAAAAGGGTTGAACTGTTGAATTGCGAGATAGAGACAAAGAACAACCAAAAAAAAAAGCTGGATCGAGATGTCATGCGAACGCGGGGAGTCGAGCCGCTGCAGCTGCTTCAATTGCCGATATTCATACCATATGAAATGCAGCGGCCGCTGCACCATGCACCACGTCCGCTTCCACCCTCCTTTCCTCAAGCTGCTAGCTAGAAGAGTTTTATTGGTGCTGTGGCATGCAAAGCTATGATAGCCAGACAGATGGCCAAGCCAAAATTCCTTTGTTCTACATTTAAACAAGGAATGGGATGAGACTGCAAGGATAGAGTCGTGGTTCGAAAGCTTAGGGAGTAAAAAAAAAAGGAAAAAAAAATCGAGTGAAGGGGAATGCGGACGCGGGGAGTTGAACCCCTTCAACTACTTCAATTTTATTTCCGGATTTCTCCCTAATGAAATGCAGCGGTGCACCGTGCGCCACGTCCACGCTCCAATCCTTTGTGTAACTCAGATTAGCCTCAAATTTGCGTTGAGCCACGAAGAAAGAAACAAAAAAAAATCTCCGGCCTGCCACAGTGCGGACGCAGGGAGTCGAACCCCTACAACTGCTTCAAGTTTACGCTTTCCTAATGAAATGCAGCGGTGCGCCGTGCACTACGTCCGCTTACCCTCATTTCCTCAAGCTGCTAGCTAGGATGATTTTATTGGGGCTGTGAGGTGCAAAGCTATGATAGACAGACAGATGGCCAAGCCAAAATTCCTTTGTTTTACATTTAAACAAGGAATGGGATGAAACTGCACGGATAGAGTCGTGGTTCGAAAGTTTGAAGAGTTGAAAGAAAAAGAAAAAAACCGATCAATTACCACGGTGTATGCGGACGCGGGGAGTCGAACCCCAGCAGTTGCTTCAACAGGCTCCTAAATTCCCAAATGAAAGCAGCGGTGCGCCGCGCACCACTTCCGCTTTTCCTCCCACTTTCATCATGTTATTGCATGGGTGAGATAAACATCAGCGCTCACGGGGACGAGGAAACCAGCGCTGCCAGTGAGCGGCCGACAACGGGTTGTGTTTGCGGGGATCCGAGGGTGGTATGACACTCGTTGGGTGATTTCGACATTGCGATGATTACACTGACCCCCTCAAATTTTCACCAACAACCGCCTTCGTAGAACGATCGAGCGACACCCGAGACTCGATCAGCGCTGTCGTGACATCATACCGACAGTCCGCGCTGTCCGCAGTCGTCTATAAATAAAGAGACGTATTTCCTTTGTTCTATTTCTGAAAATAGATGTAACTTGTAAACGTCGGAGTCAGGGCGATCCGATGTGCTCGGTGAACAGAGAGAGGCAGGTAGAGAGAGAGGAATCCGAATTGAGTGTTCTCGAGCAGAGGTAATGAAGCCACAGAGCAGAAGAGAGACGGACAAGAAAGGCTGAATTGCAATCACACGCACGCTGTCGCGTTATTTATACCAATTCGGCAACATCGCAGCGAGCGACACCGTCACCACGCCAATTACTGTAATTCTCATCTGTACTACGCCTTTCTCTACATACCCTTGACCTTCAATGCCCTCCATGGCCCGCCTCCGCCCACTCCTCGCCCTCTTCGCCCTCCCTCTCGCCCGGGCCGGGGCCATAACAGTCTACCAAGCCCCGGCCAAGCAGCCTTCGCCACCCGCTCCGCCGCCGCCGCCACATCAGCGTACACGGGCGCGGCGGCGTACAACCCCACCACCCTCGTCGCGCCGCCCGTCCCCTCCCCCGCTGTCCCCAGTAGCTTTCAAATACAATTGAATAACGGGGACGCCGGGGGTGAGCATCGTGCAGGGGGGGATTTCGTGGGGTTTAGTATTGAGATGAGTGTTAGTAACCAAGTTTGTGAGTGAGGATATACCAGACGCGACAGCACGGCACATGCGAAGTGCGGCACACTTTGCTGAGATGCGACACATGTGTCGTACTTGCATTTAGATTCGACACACTTCCCAAAAGAGCAATGTGTCGCAGGTACGCGCCATCTGATTGCAAATCCTCGGCGCATTCCGGTGGGTCGGAAAAAAAAACCAAATATTTGTTCCACCTCTTTCCGCTAACACCACCCACCCCGCGACTATCCCGCTTTCACGCCTCAAAACGCGCTGCAATGGCTTCAAGGCATACACCGGACGACCAAAGACTGATGGATAGCTTGCCAATGGGAGTCGTGACGGCATTTCGAAGCTTCGTACGCGTTCTATCTCACGGGCTGATACTGACCTCGATTGACGCATCAAATACTCCCAGGTCTATACCCCAACTTTATAACCACCAACCCACATCTTTTCATCACCAATGATTGGATCGACGCAGCCCAGCTTCGCGATTTCCTCGCACGCAGCAAGAATTCCGACCTCGATCCGAGTTCCCAGCAACCTCCGACACGCGTCAAACTCGAGAATGATCCCTCTGATGCGTCGTTGACGCGTCTTTTGGCTCCAGACCGGCTCTCGGCTCCTAGCAGTACACCTGCAGTGAAAACCCGAATTGTGCAGGAGGGAGAGCGCTAGGTGTTGGAGATTCTTTCTGATTCCGACACGGGCTCGGACTCGGAAGACTCGGGAAGCCCAGAGGCACCAATGGCTGGTAAGTAGCTTTTTGATCCGCATTTGTGTCATCATCGTGATTCGAGGCAGATTCTCGTGTTTCCCCGCCACTCCCTGCTTCCGATACCCGCGAGTCATCGCCGCTCCCTCCTTCGGACATTCCCAGCGACGCGTCCGACATGGGTAAGCCCTCATACTCCATCACCGAATAAAGATCTAATCTTTCGGCCCAGATTTTACTGCGGCTTCCGAGCCCGATGAGCCCGAGGAAATAGCGGACCTGCAAAAATTGGACACACTATGGCTCGATCTAGAAATTTCGTCGCTGGTGCACGTTGGGAATTTTCGTATAACACAGGAAGTTACTGTACAACGCATTGAATATCTGACTGAATTTGCGTCCCTCTACCCCATCCTCGAAATCCCCACTGCCATTGTGATTGATGCGCAGGCCGCCAAATTCGACTTTAAGGACAAGAAGGGCAAACTACGCACTGTTGACGCAATCATCAAAAATAAAGTACGTGCACTAGCTTCGTGTTTTCTGTTGATATCGGGTTAATATCAGTTCAGGATAACGACTCGTGGGAGGGTGGAACAGGTACGGGCGACACGATGGTCTACGTCACGTATGAGCCCGGAAAAGATCCTATCTTGAGTCGTCGATCGCGCCTGGACTGTAAAGGTGCGAGAGGCCCACTAGGCCGTCAATTCTGTATGCTGACCATCCTCTTTAGGCAGTTTCCATTGTGACCAAGTCGATCTGACACTCCTCGATGTCATCCGTCGCGATTTGAATCCAGCGTCGCGTGATGCGGTATTCGCTGCCCAACGACAGACGCGCCGAGCGGATGGACAACGGCCGAACGCAAAGTCACTGAGTACATTCATATTCCTTTGGCCGTCATCGCGCTCACCATCATAATTGTGAAAGATTTCTTCAACTTATTTCGAACCAGAAATGCACTGCGACTGATAAGAACGGCGTCAAATGCCAGGGAGTTCCAATTTTGCGCGCTAAAAACCAGGTTTTGACCTTTTCTCGATTGGCTCAATGTAGAATCCACTCATATTATTCCCCAGGCGTCGCGTGGCCACAAATTCACGGTGGTTTGTAGCGGCTTCAGCACAGACTGCAACGGCAAACACCGCAGTTGGCCTATTCCGGACGACGTTGATGAACCGATGTTCGTCAGAGGTTTTTCCGGCAAGCCACTGGTCGCCAACAACTCCAAGGATACCCCACCGTGTAGTGCCATCGTCCATCCAACCACGGGGTTGAGACGAAAGCATTGCCGTGAGTGCTTTCGGTGACGCAAGCGAATATAGCCTAACTGTTCTCAGCGCATGCTCATATTAAAAATGGGCGCGCCGTAACTGGCTGCATCGTCAACCGTGCATGTGACGCATCCAGAACAATCTACGTTCCTCTAGATCCCACCATTCGGAAGGCGCTGATCATCGACCACGGCATCCCGCATAATCACCCAATCCCTGTCTTGAAGAAGGCGTCATTTGAGCTCAAGGAGACATATCGGCGGTGTATCAGGGGTGCCGGTACCGTTGGCGCAACTGTTGCGAAGGTGGATAACGGTGAGCGGATATTTTGGTGACATTACACGCAAAATTTACCTCGATATTACAGCTCCATCGACGCAAGTTCTTCTTGGCGGTAAAACGCCGGGAGAAGTTGGCGCTGCCCTGCAAGATCAACGGGTGAAGCAGAAACTTGTGCATGAGGTTAAAATGGACGAGTATCCAGCTGGCCTCGACGCCGCAGGCCAGTGGTTTTAGTTTCTCTTGGTGTGTCACTTAATGCTAACTACGATGTAGGCGCATTTAAACTCTTCTGGGATGATATGAAGAAACCTATTGATGAGCGATATATCCACCGCCTAATTACGATGGAAGATGGCGAGTTTTCCATTTTAAAAGCAGTTTCACCTTTGTAATTTTTTTTTCAGGGGGCATGGTGATCCTAACCTGTCTGGCCGCGCTAATGAAGCTCTTGGACGACACCGGAGTTACGAGCTTCGAAACCGACACAACATTCAAGCGCGTCGCAGGCGAAATGAACGAGTGGGAAGTTGTACTCTTCCTCAAGTCCCTCCAGCGCGGTGAGTCATTCTACTGTCATTCTTCAATGGTAATATCGATGTTGATACCTGATAATTCTCAGCTGTTACTATTGCTCGCGCCTACATTAACGGGGCGAGCACTGAGTTCTTCGAGCGTCTTTATGATGAATTTCAGGCTGTTAAGTTGCAAATTACTGGCAAACCGGTCGCGTTCAAGCGCTTCGTCGAAGGGGGTAATCTCATTGCCCTGAACTCGGACATGGAGGCTGCGCAGGTTCTCGGCGCCGCCAAGTCCTTTCTTAAATCGAATAATCCCGAGTATAGCGGCATTAGCAATGACACTCCTCCCCAAAGAGTGGCGCCGGAGTTCGTCAAACTTTGTACGACTCATGGGAAACGGTGAGCACATTTTCCTTGCACAGAAATTTCGCCACACCGATATTCTTTCCAGCGGCGTTCTCGCCCTTAAGCCGTATGTATCCGAAGAGGATCACCGCCGTCTCATGGACTTTGTGTACATTGACTCGGCGGAGAAACTCGCGGAATTTGACCAGTTCGTGCGAAGCCTGGGCGTTAAGGAAGTTGAAGGTGAAGTCTCACTCGTCCCTGACAGATGGATGTTGATGGTTTTGTCCAGACTGGTGGGACCACAAGGCAATGAGTGCATGGATCTTGCCATGCTTGATAAAGTCGCAATCGCCCATGAGCGCCGAGGACTGGGACAACACCCCCTCGACGACTAATACAGGTGAGGCCCAGCATCACTGGACCAACCTCCAGACCGGAGTGAAGCAGTCGCTGGTTGAGGCGATAGAGAAGTACGTCCAGTGGAGATCTTTCAATTCTACTATTGATATTTTATACCAGCGCTCGTAAATTAGAAGAACGAGTCGCCCGTGAGATCGAGATTTCGATCCGCTCGGGTGTCCTCGTGAACTCTCGCAACGAGTCTTACGACCGCAGAGCGCGAAACACGGCACGCCAATCGGCTACGATCC